GTTGACGAGGAGATCAAGCATGTATTGTTGGGGGTAATTTCTTGAGGGATCCCACTTATAGTGTGTTATGACAATGTTATTGCCCCAAGCGATTGTTGAGTGGCATGCGACTGATAGAGTGATGTGAGAATTTACGGTGCACCAACTGATTCTTATACAAATAAAGGTTGATATGGACGTTCTCCATACAATCGATACTCGTAGGAAACATAATGAAAATTGAGCAGCGCGACACGCTTACTAAATCAACCTATGGAATCAACTTGAACTATCGCCCCCCATCGTCAGGATTACACTGCAGGACTTAGATTTCGACCACTCTCATTCTCTCTGACTTTACGAAGAAAATTGAAGTACTAATATTTTGATAAGAGCAAAATGTTTTTGGACTAAATTGATTTTTTTTCAATGTTTTCATCAAAATAATTCAAAGTCCAATCAAAACTTTAAAATGAGTATTTTTACTAGAAGTTTCTAAACTTCTACAAGAGTTTTGAAACTTTCCAATAGTTTCGAAACTATCTTAAGAGTTTTGAAACTTCCATTAAATTTTCAATACTTTGGGTCTAACGGTCATATTTTTCCAACGACTCTTTTGAAGAGTTCCGAAACTTTCCCAAAGTTCCAAAACTTTGTGTACAGAAAGTCTTCCAACGACTCCAAACCTTCCCAAACGGCTAGTAACTCATTCCAACATATAAAAACAAGTTGATGACACTTGAAGAAGTATACCAATACTTATCCAAGCAATCAAACACAAGAGTAAAACTTTTCATTCTTTATTTCTCTTTCTTTATAATATTTATGTTTTTGTGAGCTTTAATTTGTAAACGCCTTCCTTTTAGAGGTTTTCTTGTTTATCTCTTATCCTTTGTAAAGGGGTTTTGGTTCTAGTTTAACCAAGTGAAAAACTAGAGAGTTGTAAATGTTACTCTTGATCCTTGAAAAAGAAAAAACAAATTAGTTGAGTTTTTAGAAAATCCTAAGTGAGGAGCTTAGGAGTGTATGTAGACTTCATTGAGTAAGTTGAACCACTATAAATCATTGTGCAATTTTTTCTTATCCTTACTCCCTAACTTTCAAAAAGCCAATTCACCCCCTCATGGCTCATTTTCGGTTGATCGAACGAGCTTCATCGAGCCCAACAATTGGCATAATAGCTTGACTCATTAGAAGGTCTAACAAACTTTAGAATATCCTTAAAGAAACTCTATCTAATTTTGAAGCAACTGAGAAGATGGCTGCCACCTCTGGCTCGTTCTATATGGAAGACTCCCAACCGATCAACAAGCTTCCATACTTCGATGGAGCCAACTACCATCATTGGAAGAAATTAATGAAGCTATTCATCAAATCCAATGATCTTGATGCATAGAAGATGATCGAGAATGGATACTCTTCTCCAAATAAGAAGACGAAAGAGTGGAGTGCCCAATAACGGAAGAAAGCTCAACAAAATGTTAAGGCCATGCACATGTTGTTTTGTGCATTTGGTCCCAATGTCTATGAAAGATTTTCTTCTTGTTCAAATGCCAAGGACCTTTGGAATAAGCTCAAAGAACTTCATGGTCACAAGAAAGAAGAACCGCCAAAGGTAGTGTGCTTAATGGCTCTTGAAGAGCCCAAGGTATCTTCTAACTCTAGTGGATCTAATTCATATTCTTTTAATGAGTTACAAGATGCATATGATGATTTTTTTTTGAGTTTGAGACCATGAACTCTAAATACAATAAAATGATTTTAAAATTTAAAGTTGAAAATGATTTTCTTTTGAAAACAAAATGAAATCTTAAAGAATGATTTAGAGATTTCAAAAGTAAAAATTAAATTTTTTGAAAAAAGAATGCTTTGATTTAAAACTTAAGCTTGAATTCTTAACAAAAGAAAAGGAAATCATTTTAAATAATTCATCTAATTTCATAATGACAAAATACTCACATTGTCATTATCATGGTCACATAGAATATGATTGTCCTTTAAAGAAAGGAAAACATTTTAAAATTAGACAAGTATGGGTTCCAAAGGGAACAAGGGGAATTAAAACTAACATCCAAGGATCCAAAGCAATTTGGATACCAAAATCCAATTGAATATCCCTTGTAGGTATGTGGGAACAATGGTGATGAAAGTGAAGATATTCAAATGCTCTAGCCACACTTGACATGGAATGGGTAACCTCTAAGCTTATTTTCTTTATCTTGTATAATTGCTTGCTCATTTGTTTTTAAAACATATATGAGTTTTGATATTAAATACTTTTATGTTTTCTATCTCTTGTATGTTAAAAAATGTTATGATGAACATTTTCTAAACTTTTGATGATTTTTCATAAATATTTGTTCATCATAATGAATTTTGGTCAAAATTGATTTTAATGTTTTCTTTTACAAACTTTAATTTTTGACCTTAATTTAAATGTTTATGCATGTGATTTATTGCAAATGATATATCTCTAACAATTTATAACAATTTTAACATTTTTGGATAGTTTTATACACATGTACTTAAATACAATAATTGGTATTGCATAAAGTATATTAGACTTGAATATATTGAGTTTCATATGCTACTAACAAGTTTGTTCATCTTTGTTGAAATTCAATTTTTTTTAAGTGTCAAGCTTTTAAAGTCAAATTTTTGTTTGGAATGCATTTGTTGAGGGTGAGTTTTTGATTTTTCAAATTATTTTAATGTTGAAATTACTACTTATTTTCCATTGTTATTTTATACCTTAAAAGTTTGAATTATTTTTTATATAACGAAAGGGGGAGAAGTATAGGTTTGAAAAATTCAATTTCAAGAATGAAAAATGAGGAGTTCTAATATTTTCTAAAATATTTATCTTTTTCATTAAATGTTTTAATAAGGTGGAGCTTTTGCCAAAAAATATTTTTCAGAGGTTTTGTTATATCAAAAAGGGGGAGATTGTGGAACTAATATTTTGATATAACAAATAAGGGAAAAATGTTTTTGGACTAAATTGAATTTATTCAAAGTTTTCATCAAAATAATTCAAAGTCCAATCAAAACCTTAAAATGAGTATTTTGATCAGAAGTTTCGAAACTTCTACAAGAGTTTTGAAACTTTCCAAGATAGTTTCCCGAAAAGTTTTGATACTTTCCAATAGTTTTTGAAATTATCTTAAGAGTTTCAAAACTTTCATTAAAGTTTCAATACTTTGGGTCTAACGATCATATTTTTCCGACAACTCTTTCGAAGAGTTTCAAAACTTTGTGCGCAGAAAGTCTTCCAACGGCTAGTAACTCTTTCTAATATATAAAAACAAGTTGATGACACTTGAAGAAGCAGACCAACACCTATCCAAGAAATCAAACACAAGAGAAAAGCTTTTCATTCTTTATATCTCTTTCTTTTGTAAATATTTGTGTTTTTGTGAGCTTTAATTTGTAAACACATTCCTTTTTAGAGGTTTTCTTGTTTACATCTCTTATCCTTTGTAAAGGGGTTTTGGTTCTAGTTTAGCCAAGTAAAAAACTAGGGAGTTGTAAATGTTACTCTTGATCCTTGAAAAAGAAAGAACAAATTAGTGGATTTTTTTGGAAAATTCTAAGTGAGGAGCTTAGGGAGTGGATGTAGACTTCATTGAGAAAAATGAACCACTATAAATCATTGTGCAATTTTTTCCTATCTTTATATTCCTTACTCCCTAACTTTCAAAAAGCCAATTTACCCCTCTTGGCTCATTTTTGGTTGGTCGAACAAGATTCATCGTGCCCAACAAAAATGGCAAACCATATCTCACGACACTGGAAGAGAGGGCAGAATGGCAACATCATCAGGCCACATCACCAAGTCCAAGTCTAAGTCCAAGAAGAAAGAGTCGTCATCATCGTCTCAACCGAATTGGGTTGGAGGTTCATGGGACGCACCACAATACACTTAAGCATCTTCGACAGAATATGCAGTTGTGGGTGATTGAGACCATATCATATATGGTCAACAAAGTGGGAGCCAAATCGAAGTAGTTACGACGATGATGGCGTCAAATGTCATAAATCCATCCTCGCATTTCGTAGGTCGATCACAGAGTGTGTTGTGTACACCTCATCGACAAAACAATGATGACGACGGCGATCAAGGCCTATGACCCCGCGACATTATCATTCAACCACTCCGCGACATCTTCAAGAACTTAGAAGACATAGATAAATTTCCTTTGTAATTTTCATGTAAAAATTTATTTTTTACAATTAATTTACTTTGCATTTCATTAAATTTAAATAAATTGATTTTCTTTAATTTTAATTTTTTAAAATTATCTCGGCCGAACTCGTCATCTCAACGTGACGAGTTCCATCGAATTTTTTTGATTTTATAAATTTTATTTTTTAAAAAGTTTTTAAAAATATTTATTAAAAGGACTCGTCACCTCGACTTGACGAGTCATTATAACGTCATTAGAACAATGGCCCACATAGGGCCACTACGCGTGAACCATTAAAAAATAATAATCATGGAACTCGTCACCTCGAGAAGACGAGTTCAGTGTGGACTATAGCATTTGTCGTATTTTGATAAATAAAGTTTGGGTAGACCCAATTCCCTAAATATTTTACCCGCCTGGGTATTAGGCAAAAAAAATCAGTCTTTAACGTTTTTTTAGCTCAACAGGGCAAACCAAGAAATTATTTAGCCCAATAGGATAAAATTGTTTTTATTTTAGAAAATACTGCAAATGCTAAGGTACAAGGAGGTGACGAATTCTCTTGAATATATTGATTTATTCGTTTCAGTTGAGTGGGCCCCACATTAGTCATTATTTTAATTTATTTAATGGATTAATCACGTCGACGTGAGGCTCAAAATTAAAACGGCTATGCCCTATTGGACCAAATAATTTCTTGGTTTGCCCTATGGGGCCAAAAAAACCGGTCTTCAGCAGTATATTACTCGATACATCGGATTGAATGTCAAAGCCGATGCTCGAATCCTCATAAGTGGAGTTGTTAGGGGGCCTTTTGGTCTCTCAACTCTGATTGTGGGCTTTGATCCATACTCCGGTCCGGTGTACCACCACTATATCAGACAGATCCATCAGGGACATTTTCAGCTTGGAAAGCTAATGCCACCGGGAGAAACTCAACTCGATTAGGGAGTTCCTAGAGAAGAACTATAAGGAAACCTCCGGACAAGAAACTATCAAGCTTGCAATTCGTGCATTGCTTGAGGTAAGTTTCGTTGCCTGGTTCTTCCTTCGTTAACTTTTACTTTGCTTTCCGGTGTTGCTGTTCCTCGATCTCTCGTCATTTAGGCTTTGCTTGGTTGAGTGGAAAGATGGAAGGAAAATAAATTTCAAGTGTGCTTGGTATGTAAGAAAAGTTAGAGGCGTGATCATTTTCCATCCTTATATGTAAAACAAATCACTCAATTTGGAAGGAAACGATGAGAGAAAATGTGAGAGAGATGTGATGTAGTTCAAAATATGTATTTTTCTGAACTTATTGTTCTTTTACTCTCATTTTTTCACTCTACCAAGCAATGATTGGAAAGGAAATTGCATTTTCTTGCATTTTTTTTCATCCTTCCTATGTAAAGGAAAATTTAATTGCCCATCTTTTCACTTTTATACCCTTGTAATTTTCAGCCCCTTAAATTTCCTTGCCTCTCTAGCAAGCAAAACCTTAATGAATATGATGATACAACTTCTGCTGCTTCGCACTTAGTTGTTTAAGCCACATATATGAATTAAAGCTATCTTTAACTTAAAGCCATTCTCCCTTCATAGCTTATGCATCATATGTTTTAATCATTCATGCATTTGCAAGTCATAAAAAGTCGCATGATTTATCAACATGTGCCTCTAGAAAAATGGAACATACCTTAATGAAAATTATTAAGTGCAGCGAAACGAAGTGGAACTTGTATTTAATTTGATTGATTCTTCTGGGCGTTTGTTTTGTAGGTTTAGAATGCGAAAATCAATAGCAATTCTATGTGCTGTGAAGTTATTCTGATGGGTAGCAGTGTAAATTAGAACATCTAAGAGTTCTTCTTCTATCAATATGTTGTGGGTTATGACATTTTTAGCATTTCATTTTCTTTTCTGCTGGAATCATAGTATGTTCGATCACTTGGAAGAAAGAGACTCATCTGAGGTTGAAACAAGGATATTGGAGGAAGGTGGAGAGAGGGACTTTCTAGCTAATGGATTTATGAAAGTTCATTTTGGCAGATTGGTTTTCAACTTCCCATATCTTTATTTTGAGGGGCATAGCTGCATCTGCTATCACTTAGCGGCTCACTAGGATATGGTGTTTGGAATTCGGAATCATTTCTAAAGCGTGTGATGATCCATCAGCTATACCTGAGTTGTGGAACAGATATATTTATGGATCAATAAACTCAGGGTTATACATTTCTCTAGTCCTCTCGATTCATTTGTAAACACAATCAGTGTGCTAGTTTGTTTGTCTCCATTTGATGTTGTTAGTACTCCTAATCGAAGTTGGAATTTTATTTTTTGCTTTTGGTATATTCTACATAACGACTTATGCTAAATGCTCACAGTCTAGGAGGTGTAGGTGTGCTTTAATCTCCTCCTTGATGACCTACTTCATTTTATTTATTATCATATCATATATGTCAGACTGAAGAGAAAAAACAAGCCGCTGCCGATGTACTATTTCAATATTCAAAAGTTGCAATGGCATGCATAGGAAACCAAGTCCGACCTTGGGATCTGAGGCTGCATTTGATGAAGGTGGCTTGGAGAAAAGGGTTACAATAATATCTATTACATGCCTTTGAAATGATGTTTTGGAGTGGTTGCATTTGCTACCATGCATATTGTCATGTGAACTCACCTGCCATGCATATGAAGAGTAAAGGGTTCAATATCAAGGGCCAAATTTTTCCCAAGATAATTGACCATAGCTTTTTCCACTTGTTTAGGAAATATCAGGGAGAGAGCTTCATCCCAAGTTGCTGCTTCTCCTGATTCAATGGGCGAGTCATCAAGCTGAAGTACAACAAGAATTGATAAGAAAGCTGATAAAGCTGATAAATGAGGTGAGTTGAGAGCGATTCTCATTTCACTTGAAGCATCATTATACTTCTTATCGTACTAGATGCTTAATGCAATGCAACTTAGGATGTTCCAAAGATGTTTGATCATAGGAAATTGTGTAGTTTGTTTGATACAAGTGGCATTTCTGTGTACAATAACAAATAAATCATAAATTTTCTTTCAAAAGGTCTATTTTATTGTTTCTTCTCTTTATACTTAATACAAAGCATTTCTTGCTTGAAAGTTGTCTCCGATATGCTAATAGAATCAGGACACCATCATCTTCAATCAATCATCTTATGTGCAAAATGCAAAGAAGTTCATTTGATTCATCTTTCATGATTTATCTACCTTTCTCAGCTATGAATCCATCATCTGACATTCCCTTAGCATTCAACATTTTTCACTTCAATGTTGACATTTCTTGTTCGGCTTCTTCTACATGCTGAGGTAGTGAGCCAGGTTTACGCTTTTCCCATAATGTATCTTCTTGCCAGGGACTACCACCATCTACCTGGGATGCCTTCGTTTCATAACAAAATTAAATTTCATTGAGCATAATATAAAAATAAAAGGGGCCAATTCCATCTACCTGATTAGTTTTACCATGCACAGGCAATGTTAAATAATCATCAGTGAAGCTTGTGATCATCTTTTAACATTTCGTCAAAGTGAGAAGTTTCAAACATGGGAATACCAGATGATAACCCAAAGGACTGAAGCTCACGAGACTTGGCAATCCGATGAGTTACATTTCCCCTAATTGTGGGAATTCCATTTTATTCTCAAAGGGTAGACCTTTTGATGCTAGTGAGGATCCCAAAATGTCATCAATGGCAATTATCTGCTCCAGCGTCTCACAGTAGCTTATTCTTAGGCGGTTCAAATGTGGTGAATTTTGGATGAGTATCATTGGAAAGATGTATGTCAAGCCATTGCAGGATTCTATGGCTAACTCTATGAGATTTGTTGCAAATGCGATGTGACCCTTCCATAGATCTCGTAGCCAAATCATATCGGAGATGTTCAGGCACTCCAGATTTGAGATGGAATATCCACTTTGAAACTGAAAGAGTTGTTTAAAGTTTCCTATAGTTAAATGTTCCAACCCAGGAGATATTTGTCCCAATGGCACGCTCTCCATGTTGCAAGAATTGGGGTTTAAATACAATTCCTGTGTGGAAGTAACAGGAACGGTTACTCTTTTATATTATCTGTATCAGTAAAATCTTAAGAATATCACCTTTAAATAGAAAAACAGAGGTAAAAAAATGAATAAAAGTAAGATTATCTTTAATGAAGCGGACTTGTTTGCTTCTTTCTGAATAATGATTGCAAACCGATGACATCTGATAACTTGTAAATTTTCCAAAGCTGGTGCTTCCATAATATTATTTTTCTGCCAAAAAAAACTGCCCAGATTTGTTGAATAACGTAGACCTATCTCTTGTAGGCAAGGCAGACCTCCAGCCAAACCAAGTGGGAAAACAGATTCTGCATTGGGGCACCAAGACATGTTCATAGTTTTCAAGTGTGGCAGCAAGTATATTGTGCTGGATTCTGTTTTATCATCTTCGATACTTTCCAACTCCATGAAAACACTTTTCAGTTCCTTGCAATTGTTTATTCCGAGTTCTTGCAGCATCCTTATGGTTTGAATGGCGGAGAGTGGGAAGAGATGTTTCAATTGATGGCAACCAACTATTTCTAAAACCAATAAACTTTGGAAGCTGACAGAATGTGTGGGGAATTTTCCTATCCATCTCAATTCTGACAAAGATTGTGCAGTCAGATGCTCTACATTTGACAGTAATGGCACTGTTCAAAGCCTTTAACTATCAACTGTTCCAAGCTTTCAAGAACATCCCAACCGTCTAAATCCACAGACATTGAAGATGATCCAGCCTAATATAATCCATAACATAAATGGGAATGAAAAGCATTTGACAAATCAGTGAGATCAAGGCTAAAATAATGAAATGAATCTGATAATTATAAAAAAACAAGACAGCTTAAGAATTGGGTCATTCATTCATTCAATTATATGACTATATAAACGATATAAAAGAGAAGGAAAAAGGGAAGTCTACCGTTAACTGCAGCCTCTTCCCAACTTGTGAAATTGAAAAGTTGATCAATCGAGGACACTCACGAACATCTAAGCTTTCCAAGGCTGGCGCTTTGAAAATATAGTTTTCTTGAGCTAAACGAATCAAGTTCCTTAGACGACAAAGTCGTAGATGTTGTAGATTACCAAGGTGCAGGAACCATCTTGGTCGACTCCATTGTTCTTTTACGGTGCCGAAGACTTGCTTTAATTCATCACAATCATAAACTGAAATCTTTGCAAGAGCAGGAATACCTTTAGCCAAAGTGATGGGGCATACTGTAGTTTTGGACAACCACTGATGTGGAGAGTTTTCAATTTACGCAAGAATAGAGTAGGGAGAGAACTGCTTGATTCTGTTTCACCGTCATTATTTTCTAGCTTTGCGAAGAGCGTTTTCAATCCGTCACAGCCACTTATCCATAGTTCTTCTAACATCACCAGGCTTTGAATAAGGGAAGGTGAGAAGAGGGATTCCAATTTGCTGCACCTTTCTATGTTTACGACCTCAAGGCTTTGGAGACCGAAAGAATGGACCGAGCCTTTGAAAGTGGTTTGTCTTGATTTTGTTCTCCGTTGTACGGGAGATCATCCATTTGAAACGCCCCTTGCAACTTTTCACATCGTCTAATAGCCAATTCCTTCAAGTTTTTCAAGAAACCTTGTGGAGGCTGACCCTTGCATAAGGTTTCCAAACCATAGATATATGTTATCCTTAAAATCTCCAAATGAGTGAATACAGAAGTTGGCCTTCTCCCTGTTGTCGTATCAACCAAGCATTCAAGATAGTAGCACCTCTCAACTCCAGGGCAAGTTAATCCATTTAGTCCATCTTTGTTTGCTTCTGGAACCACGTTCGTTACGATCCTTAGTTTTTCCACGGAGTTGGAGATGCTTTTGACTGCGGAACGATCCCTTGAATGCAGATAACCGATCATCCTGTTATAATTCATTGGTAAAACATTTACTAGAAACCATTAGTAAAATAAAATTGAGTGACGTAACTAGAATATAAACAAAGGAAGTGCCTTGAAGTGAGTCACCTCAACTTCTAAATGAACAAATGAATTGCTTAAAAGGGGACAACTCGACATTGAAACCTCCGTCAAAGGTTTTGAAAACTGCAGTTGTCGGAGCATGAAATCATTTTCCGTCCTTCCTTCTATACGCCCGACCAGTTGTTTTAATAGATGGCAACATACACATAAAGCTTTTCCAGTTGCGGAAGCTCTTAGGTGACGTTTGGTTCGAAGAAATCCCTTAGAATTAGGGGAATTGAAATCCAATTCCACCACTTTCTTATGTTTGGTCAAGTTTTCAAAGGGAATTGGAATCCCTCATGACTTCAACTTTCCATCAAATGAGGAAAAGTAAATTTTATTCATTCTATGATGGAATTCAAATTCCCTTGTTGGAGGGAATTGAAATTTGATTATACTACCCTTATCAATCTTTTGGTAACTTATTGAATAAATTTTTTTTTATTTCGGGTCGGGTCAGGTCGTGTTTCTAATTCATATATTCAGGTCGGGTCGGGTAAAACTTTATTTTGGTCTGGTCGGGTCAGGTCGGTTTTTTTAAGTGTGATATTCGGGTCGGGTCGAGTTCGGGTTTAGGGTGAAAAATACCCGACCCGACCCGAAAATATATATAATTTTACCTTATATATTTAGGAATAATTACAATAATACCCCTATCTATATAATTTTTTCAATTAAGTCACTGTTTTTATTGAATAAAAATAATTTTTTTATTATTTCGGGTCAGGTTTCTAATTCATATATTTGGGTCGGGTCGGGTGAAACTTTATTTTGGTCGGGTCGGGTCGGTTTTTTAAGTGTGCTATTCGGGTCGGGTTCGGGTTTAGGGTGAAAAATACCCGACCCGACCCAAAAGATATATAATTTAACCTTATATATTTAGGAATAATTACAATAGTATCCCTCTATATATAATTTTTTTCAATTAAGTCATTGTTTTTATTGAATAAAAAATAATTTTTTATTATTTCGGGTCAGGTTTCTAATTCATATATTCGGGTCGGGTTGGGTTGTCGGGTCGGGTGGACCAAAAACTCGACCACCTAATTGGAATGATTTTAACTTATAATGTTTATTAGCATAATTTTTATAATTTATTGAAATGAATAATCAATCAATAAAATTAAAATTTAATATTTTTTAAATTTTTATAATTTATTGCTACATGTAATTTATAAAACAAACTAAAATTAAGCAAAAAAAACAAGAAGGGCAATCCTGTCATTTTACATTACTGAAATCAAATTCATCTGACATGTCTGCGAACCAAACAAAATATGGAATTGGATTCCAATTCAATATTCTGCCAACCAAACAGAACATGGAATTGGATTCTAATTCCTGACAGATTCTAATTCCTTCACAGATTCAAATTCCCTCAGAAACATTCCAGCGAACCAAACGCCACCTTAGGGTGCCATGAAGGTCGGAAAAATGTACTCCAAACTATCACATGCTTCTATGTAGGCTTGTCTTAACTTTGGTAAGGACAAGAACTGATGCTCGAGGATATTTCTTCCTCACCACTATCGGATTCTGTAATTATTTGCTTCAATTCACCATAGTCGCTTATCTCAAGGTTTTCTAAGAGAACCAGAGTTTAGGCACGACTTTGACTCCAAGGTTACCCAAGATGCCCTATAGGGGTCCCAAACATTTTTAAAGTCTTATTTGTGGTCATAAAAAAGATTTCAAACATGCTAAAAACATCAAAAGCTTGAATTTAGCATTGGCATGCTTATACGTTTCATATCTAATGCAAGCTAAGCAACTGCACTAAGAGGTCCACAAATGATATAGGAAGGTTAGAAATGTATTGTCTTGATGCTTAGCGGTGGAAAAACGTCTCCAAATCAACCAAGAGTTAACTTTTTTTTTTTTTTTTGAATATTCTCCAACTTCTCTCACTAACCTAACATGAAAAATGAGTAACTAACTTGTTCATAAAACTAAAATTAGTCTAAGAACACTATCCTAATCTCATCTTACCCCATAAATGAGCTAGAATAACTAGATTCTTAAACCCCACTAAATCCCTAATTATGGACATTATGATCAAATTATGAGATCAGGAGCTCAACTGAAAGCTTAGGGTGAGGAGGCTATGATTCTTACCTTGGAAATTTCGTACCAAGTTTGGAGTGCTACCAAGTTTTCACCTTTGCAATTTGTTTGGTAAAGAGGAAGAAGATAGGGCACATGGAAGGAGAAAAATAGAGGGTGTGGTTAAAGCAAAATACATCTTCTTTCGTTAAAGTCGTCTACTTTTGTTTTAAAATAGGGTAAAATGTCTCTTTTAGTCCTTCCCTTCCACTTAGATATTTAAAATGGTCTCAATTCTCTACATTTTGGGTCTAACACAAGTCCACTTCTAAACTTACTTGGTCCGAGCTATTCTATAAGGCTATTGGGCTCGTTTTATAAATCTCGGGTTAGCCCGAATCTATTAACTTGGGATTTGGGGCGTTACACTACCTACCCTTATAGCGCTTCTGTCACATGATCAATATCTCTGCATCTAACGTCAAGGACTTTGCATGGAGAATTCTCTGCACCATAACATGACAAAGATACCTCCGCTTTGTCATAGCTTCAAGATCCTCCGCCAAGTAATACAACTTGAAAAGACAATTGCTTACATTTATATCGGAGCATCAAAACATTTCAAATTACATCTCCACTTTAAGCGTTGAAATTCTTTACTTTAAAATTTTTGCAGCAAAATCAATTTTTTGAGCTGAATAACTTTCGCTACCAACATGAAGCGAAAAAAACTTTACTCTGCGCTCACCAAAACATTAAGGATAGCTCAGCATTGAGCTTTGAGACATTTCGGCATCAACTTAACATTTGAAAAATCTTCAGATGATATTTCACTAACCATCAAAAATCTCTTAGAAAAATAACGAAGACACCTTCGTATAACATATTTTGGAGTATCAATAATACCTCTGCACCTTTACTTAGTGTTTAGATAAATCAATCTTTTCACTATATCGTATAAGCGTTGAGATTCCTCGATACATTTGGGGACATAGAGATGGCTTCGCCCATATCTAAAATTTTAATACAAGTCTATAAGGACGTAGAGATCTTCCGCAACTTAAGCGTTGACATACCTTCGTCCACTTAACAGATTAAACGCTTCACGAGTGAAGACAAGGTTTAAAGACTCACTCAAATGACAAAACGAGAAAATAATAATCTAACATATTAACCTAACAAAATCGAAAGAGGCGAGATATAAGATCAACCTCGTAGATTCGATGGGCATCTTCAAAAGGACTATAGGTTTACATAATTTATAGCATTCCCTTGATTAAAGTGGACAACTTGTTATACTGCCAGAAGACACCTTAAAAAACAGTCAGTTCTCTGCTTACCGAGTCCTCCGGATAGACTCCATTTATCAGAGCTTTTAAGGAATCCATATCCTCTAAACACAGAGTATCATAACCTCTAAGCCAATTATAGTGCATAGACAAGTCTTTTGACCGACTCACGTAATTTATTAGAGTGAAATCCATGATCTGATAACCATATCTATTAGCCTGCTGACCTACAAACAATTATAATTACCCTATCTCTGACATCATCAACTCAGGTCATTATAAATATCTATCAGCTACAAATGAGACAGGGATCTCCGTTTCCTTCTCCTTTTTCACTCTCATCTTCTCTTATTCCTTCATCTCTCTCACAGATAATCGATCAAAGATTATTACTTCACCGATCGTAATTCTCCACCCATATCAAAATACGTGAACCGCCAACTACCAACGAAACAAACTTTTTCCACCAACAATGTGGTAATCTCGTAGCAGCAGCCTCGTTAACAAGAAAAAAGTTTTTTTTTTTTTTACTTTTTGTGAAGAATGCATCTTGCTTGATAGGATTCCAAATAATATATTATATTCCAGTTTGAAGATGGTAACTGGTGGTCATACACAAGAATTACTTTCTGATCTAATAAACACTAAAGTTTGCCTTCTATCAATTAGTTAGTTGCGTTGGATGGCGTTCTGCACTTCCGGTGCAACCAAGTCGAGCGCTTGCCTCGTTTGAGAGACAAGAACATTTGCCTAGCTCTAGGATTGTTGAATAACTCCAGTGCAGCAAAGTAGACACGCTCTTCAACACCTTCCATTTCATCCAATTCTTTTATACAATTAGCTATGTTATATCTAGCATTACATTGCTTTACAGCGGCTGTCCTCAGCTTTGAAGCTGCTACCATCTCCACTATTGCAGCTGCGATAGCATCATCGATTCCTCTGCGTCCCCTTTTGCGCTACTAATTATACCAAGATGAACTGCATCGGGATCATCTGCCACATCCTCTACTTCCTCGGACTCGGATGAGGACTCTTCTTGAATTGTGCTCAATGGTTCCAAAGAAGGAAGCGAGGAAGGAACCTCTCCGACAAATTCAGCATAGTAGTCATGCTTCCCATTAGCTGTTGGCTCTGACAAAATCGTACAAAGTTGCTTGTAAATCAAACAGCCACTGTTTTTAATGGCTTCAGCATCTGGACGACCCTGTCAATGAAGAACATGTATGAGCTCGGGTTCAAAGGATTGAAGGAGATTTCATTCACATAGATAGAGAAACCTACCTTGATAAAATCAGCCCAAGCTTCATCCTCGCCTATTATATACCCAGTAGATTCATCCCAACTGAAATCACTTCGATCAAGAAGCGACTTCACAAGAACATACTGGCCCCTCATAACCCCATATCGATTCTTTAATTGCTCCTTGTCCCATTTCAAACCAGTTTTCGTATGGAAGTCATCACAAATAGATTTCCATGCTTTCCTGTTGAAAGAATTGTTGCGTCTATTACCTCTGTGAACCTGTTCAACCAACAGGTCTGCAAGTGTCTTGGTAAGGAACGTCCATCGAGCTCTTGGCTGCTGTTCCTGCTGCTGAGATGGCTGTTGTTGTTGTCGTCTCCTTGAGCGAGTAACTCGGCTTGTCATCTACAAACCAACAACCAAAATCATTAAATTAACCATACACAGTCACTGTTTCAAATTAAAGCAAACATGAATTCAGTCTGAAACACACTTGAAACAGAGAGAAACAAACCATATACTTCACAGACAAGAGAAGCAAATTCCATGACACTACAAAACAGGAATAATAATGACCTCATAATAACACAAGAAATGCCGGCGGCCAAAGTCGAACAAGCTTTGAAAATCAAGAAAATTGAAAGAAGGGGGGAAACACACAAGGAGTGATGCATTAAATTGGCATAGAATAAAAAATCAGAACCCCAACGCGGACAATGTTAAAGAAATTGGCGTGAATCTATCATGGAATGACACTCACCATCGAGGAAATAGGGAGAAAGTAAGAGAGATATTATGATTATGGAGGAACCCTTCTTATTGAATTGGGAATACAGTAGTCGTCCATGCTTCTTACTCCAGGTAATACCCACCCAAACACCCACCGCCTTCATTCCCCTTTTCGGTGTGTGCGAGCTTTTTTTTTTCCCCTTTCTTTTTAGAACAAATAACATTTTTAGATTAAAGTATTTTTAATATAAAATTGAGAAGTGTTTTTTTAGGATTAATAGTGAAATAACTGTTTAAATTATATTTAAAATTGATTTTTGATGTATAAAAATTTTACATTAGACATAAGTATTTAATATTTTCTCTGTTATATTTTTAGACAGAGATGAACCTAGGCAGAAGTAGGTGGGGACAGTTGTCCTTGTAAAATTTTAAAATTATTAAATATTTTAGATGGTGTCTATTTATTTTCTATTGAATTTTTTTGTCTCACTAGAATTTTATAAGTTCAAATTTGTATCCCTAATATAAAATATTTCATTCGTTGCTACTTTTAGATGCATGTAGGGTTAAGTGACACATGTTACATTCAGATTTAAAAATATATTTTTTAAATAATATTTTATATTTTTTTAAAATATAAACATGTCACGTGTCACTTAACGAGTTTTTTTAATAGTATGCACCTAAAAATATAATGGAGAAAATAATACACTTATTTTTAACAAAATATTTTTTAGGCACCAAAAGTCAATTTTGAGTATAGTTTTGACACTTATTTTTTGTATTAAGTTTTTTTTTATAATATGCATAGTAATCAAAATCGGACCGGATCGGTCGGTCAGTTCGATCGTTGAATCGGGAATCGGTTGCCTGTCCGGTCCGATCAGCCTTCAAAACCAGTTTTACAATGAACCGGTAGAACCGGTTGGGAACCGACAAAACCGGTGTGAACCGGAAAAACCGGTGTGAACTGGCGATTTTTTTTATTTAAACCAAACGACGTCCTTTTTTATGATTTTTTCAATCCCAAATTTATTTTTGTTATATAATTATCATAAAAAACAATGAAGATTAATCTTTGTTTGTTTATTTTATGTATATAATTATATTTATTATTTAATATGTTTTATACTTTTACTTTTAATTGTTAAGTATTGTTTGAAAATTTAAATTTAACTTTGTATTTATTTATCATATTACTAGGTGATGAAGATCTTGATGCTGTGGATTTTCAAGTTCAAAGTGATGCTATGGAGTTTCAAGTTCAAAGTGGTGATGGTGGTGATAGTTCAACTAATGAAGAAGATTTTCTCAATATTTTGGAATTTGAGGGATCGATTTCAATGAATATTATGATAATTGATACTTGTATCAATTATGTACTTTTTTTATTTAGTTGTTGATGAATTTCATTAGGTATTGACCTTAAATATTATATTATAGTTGATTTGAATCATTTTGTTTCACTTGATATTATGGTATTTAACTTATATATGTTATGACTTGTGATTTTTATGCCTTTTAATATTGTGAACTTAAAAGAGTGTTATATATATATAATTATATATATATATATATATATATATATATATATATATATTATAATATTATTTTGAATATTATGTAAATTTTTTTAAAAAAATATTATTTTATATAAACCGGTTCAACCACGCTTTAACCCGATTGAACCAGTACCTTCACCGGTTTAAGGTTCGGTCCGATTTTAAAAACATTGATAATATGGATAATTACATAAGATAGAATCTATTAAAAAAATTAGTTATTAATAATACATGTATCTTGTAAATGTATTTACCAAAACTTAAAATCTTTAAGAAGAATATTTTTTCATCATTGAGTCTATGTTTAATTTTTTTTTAAAGCTAAGGTGATTATAAAGTAGTATAT